CATTGTGACTTCACTAACTGTAATTACACAGAAATCTGTACACGCCAGTAAACAATCGCTGCTGGTATTTATCAGTTAGAACAGATTACCATAGAATTGCACAGCAGTTGTCTCCTATTTGTGTCCCTCTAGCTGTAGCTGTTACCATTTCTTTTTTCTTCCTCATAATTTCCATAAATACAGGGCCAAATTATGCAGTGGGTTATTGTTGATTTTGCAGCCATGTAACCAATAGCTTAATTTGCTCGCCTCCCAAATAGCTGTTGCAAAAACGTGCATTTTCTTTAAAGCTTTGGCTTCAATAAGCTGATAAACTGATATATCTACGATGCAATATGAATAAATAAACTATAAACTATAAAATAAGCCTCTTACAAGGATGTCTTGACAAAAGAGCAGCTTCCATCAAAGTGTAATCCTTTAAAGAGGAATTACAATTTGCACAATCCAATGCATCGCCATCCTAAAGGAGTTCATTGTATCAGAATATGAGCCATTTCCACTCTGTTCTGAAGAGACTGTGCTTTACTCCAGTGAAAAAAAGGAATACATCCAAACTAGATTTAAAGAGAGTGGCATCACGAAACTGGCATCAAATCTAGACTAGGAGCCCAGAAAAAGCTGACAACCGTGAATTAATCTGATCATAACTTTAAGAACTGATCCTTTGACAAGCACCGTTTTATAGAACAACGCTTGATCAGAATCATTATTCTCACCAGGCTCTTCAGTAAGAACAAACACCAATTTAATTAGAAACAATAGCAAAATTTGAAGTAAAAGAAGGACATATGTAGCAAAAATGGGGGCAATAGAAATTCCTTTCTATAACAGCAATCTATACTTATGGCCTTGGTGAAATTATGTTGAATTTGTGAATTCATTCCCAGTCAGTCAACAAGTAAAATTTGCTACTGCAACTGGGAATCATTCTTTTGGCTTGTCTGCTCACTAAGCTGATTACAATCCTTCAAGGTAAAGAATAAAAACTCACTAAAAGGCAACTAAATGCAGCAGAAATATAGCCCAAAGCATTTGAAGTTCTAGGCTTTTCTTTACCTGACATTTCTGACATGGATTTTTAGGGAAATATGGAGAATAATGTATAATGAATAATGCACACTCATCATTTGGTTCTCTTCTTGGCATTGAGCCAAAATCAGTCGCAATGACAAAATCAGGAAATAATTCCATGACACCAGGAATCTTAAAAGAATAAATCTGGTAGCTTACCCATAAAATCAGGGAGAACATAGCAAAACAAGACAATGGCATTAATTTAAAAGCTAGATGATTAATTTAATATATATCTCTTTCCTATGTTACCTCCTTAATGCTGCTAAAGCACTGCTGGGAAAGGAGACAGCCCTCAGTTTAAGGGGCTGCAGTGATACTTGGGTGGCAGAATTGCCCCTTGTAATGGCAGTTGAGAGGAATGCATTGCTGGCAACACAAATGGCCATGTTTGTTTGTAAAACGTCTGTTATTCGCCTGCTAGATAGTGAGGCCATTTTCATATATTGCCTTTTCAGATTACTGATAATTCACTGAATATTCTGACAGCAAAAAAAGTCATTCTCCACTTTTAAATCACAATGTTTAAACTGCTAAAATCCACAATGAATTACAGACCATTTCCCCGTTTGTGAAAGTGAAAGCAAGATTGCTAGGATTCAGTTGCCTCCTTACTCCCCTTCTCTACATTAATCCCCCCAGCTTCCTGTTTTTCAAAAGTCTCTTTTTTTATTCCCTTTCTGAAGTAGACTTGCCAGCCCTGAGATCCTCTCAAACACTTTTCATTACAGCTAAATGAAGGGTCTAATGCTTGTCCTTTTTTTATATTGGGAATAAAATGTACAGACTCTAGGTCTTATAACCTTAATCATTCATCTTACTATTGACATATAGAAGGGAAGATTTTGATGCTTTAATGCAGCGTATGAAACTGCTTTGTGTATACTTTATGGTTTGATGTATTTATTCTTTTAAACCAAGATACTGCAAACTCAGACAAAATGACCTCAGGTATGGGACCCAGCAGAGTTCAGACTGAATCATTTGCAGTGAAGGGAGAAAGGCTTTTGTAAGGTCTAGGAATGGATTTACAATGGTGTCGTTTTGAAAGCAAAAGTGTGTGTGCATGGAGGTGCTGGTATACACAGCATGCAACAAATGTTGGATATGTGACTGTCGTGCTTGCAGCCAGGCAAACCCCGAGTCCTAATGTGCATCAGGTATTATGCCACCATACTTCTGTACACAGACTTCTAAGAATCTAGCTTGAATCCTCTGAATATACACAGACTACTTGGTGCATTTTAGAAGGGAGGTGTGGGGGGCAGGAGCAGAAATCAGCTGTTCACAAATATCTTTATTAGTTAGAGACAAAGTCATCCCTGGCAGGAATGGGACCAGAGAGGAATAAACTCCTCCAGTGGCAGGGAAATCCATCACAATTCTCTGCACATACCCAGCAATATCCTTGCTTCAGTTCAAATGCTCACAGCAGGGGCTAAATGCACCGCAGACAATAAAAGTCTAATATCTCCTTAGTTACACCTGTGTGTGTATGAGAAGTGCACAAGAGTGGAATGGGCAGCACAAAAACATGTCTGCATGTTAAAAACCTCTTTGCCTGATACTGGCTAAACCTGTAAAAGGACAAAGCTCCAAATATTCCTAGTCAAGCTGCTACTTAACAAACTCTGAGCTGAAGTAGGGTGGAAATGCAGACCCAGGAAAAACACCTAATTAGCCTTCTTCATCCATCACCCATCCATCCATCCTTGCCTGGGTAAATGGTTAGAACATTCCTCATCTCATTTGCTGCTGCAACAGGGTGGCTATCGAGACACACAAATTAAAGAAGACCCTTTGCTCCCTTGGATTTAATTGCTGAAGTTTCCATACAAGATGCCTGAACAAAAGGGAGTAAGTTCCAGGGCTGTTAGTCCTCTTCTAATCTGGACCTGCAGCTAGAACCGTGTTTTCATCCAGCCTAGCCTTTTCTTGAATCAGTTTGACCAGCCAACTTGAAACGTTCAGTGTCACAAAGCTAGTCAAGTGACTCAAATTCAAAAAAGCTACAAATATTATTAAAATAAAACAAAACAAAAAATACCGTGCGGGGAGAAGGACGTTTACAGGTCTCTGTATAAACGATGTCCAGAAGCAGGCTGCTAAGTAGCAAAACTGAGTATCATAGAAATGTATGACACGAAGGGGTCTCAAGATGCCATCATCTCTAGTCCACGATCCTGCACTGATCAAGTATACCTAGACCATCCTCAACCGTATCACTTATGCAAACTTGAAATTTGGCCTGTCCCTATGAAATGTTAAAGCATACTGCCAGCAACCCTCAGCAAACATTGCTGTAGGAGATGGTAAGAAGGATCATGCTGAGAAAAAGGTGGAAGGAAAACAAAGGAAAATAAGCATTCCCCCAAAGTCCTGACTAATCTCTTCGTGTCACGCTCCGTGTCTGCCTTCTAGCTCTCCATTTGGTTCACATGAGATCTTCCAAACCGAGAAACTTCATAAACTGACTGTACTTGAAAAATGGTAAAGGTCACACAGTATGAGTGCTAGTTTTATACCTCATCCTAAAGTAATAAAGCAACTACCTTATTTCTACCTTATTTTTTCAACTTTCATTAGTTGTCTCTGTATCTAGGCTTTAGTAAAGCCCCTAACACTGTAGCATCCAGGCACTGAATGTAAAAAAACAAAGCATACGTACTTGGGACTGATTCTAGGCCATCTGGATATCCTTTGGTATCATCATTTCTTTGCCCTATTGCTCTAAGCCTCACTATTTTCCTTTTTTAATCCCCTCCCTTTTCTCCCTATTAAAGTGATGTGACTGTTACAGGAATCTAATTCTATTTTGTTTTCTCTTGTAAAGCATATTTATGTTGCAATGCACTGCAAATGCCAAGCACATTTTAGGAAAGCATTTTAAATATGCACTTTCTTAATAGCTAATGCATTCTAGTACTATGGAAGCCAGGCCATTTTATAGGTGCTGGCTGCACCCATAACATTTAGGGTTGATGTGACTTTTGCTCTCACAGAAGGGATTCAGCTTCTCCTTCCTTTTGAAGAATATAGCGTACCCTCCAAAAATGTATAATATTTACTCCAAGTACAAAATGTGCAGAAAGAGGTAGTTAACTGTGTTAGTCTGAAGTCACGCAGAAGACAGGGTAGAGTTGCTCTTTATAGGTTAACTGAATCAGAGATTGTAGGATGATAGGAAAGTAGGGCTGGAAGGGACTTCCCAAAGTCATCCAGTCTAGCCCCCTGCTCAAGGCAGAAACATCCTTGACTTAAACATCTTAGCCATGTGTCTGGCATAATTAAAAGCTCATTTTGTCAGATGCAACACAAATGTGCAGCAGGTACAGCTTCCCAAAGATGCACCTGAAAAAGTGAGCTGTTGCTTATGAAAGCTTATGCATCTCTGATTCAGTCTACAAGTTGCACCTCTACCCTGAAGAAGTATCTTCAGAGCTGTAAATAGTGAACTGTATCAGTGCATTTTATATTTCATTTTAAAAAATTGTAGAGCTAAACAACTCTACCCTAAATACAGATAGATTTGTTCAGCATTCTTATAATCAAATATACTTTCCCTTTATTTGACTAAGAAGGAAATCGCGTTTGCTGAATTGTTGGCTGACTTGAGACACTTTCCAGTGTGAAATCCCTTTCAATGTTCTCTATTATGCATGAATTCCAAGAAAAAATATCTGCATTATCTGAAATAATCTAGAGAAAATGTATTTCAAAAAGTATCTTGAGTCAAAGGGTAGCAAATGAATCAATGTATGTATTTCCATATTTGTATAGATTTCATTATATTCTTGATCTAAGTTACTCTCAAGTCTCTTTTATATTTTAAAAAATGTACTACACACCTATCATGCAAGATGTAAATAAGTATGTTCAGCTAGTTCAAATTAGATATACAGTAAAAATACACTTCCAAAGAAATATCATTTCCATTTTTGTTCATGTTTTTAACAGAATTTCAGACTAGTACATCAAATGTGGAACTGTACAAGTATGTGAGGAAACATTAGGATTGCAGTAGTAAAAAAATGTACAGCATTCAAAACCAACAAGCTCTAAACAACTGAACAATACCACAGGATTGAAACAATCATGGGGACAACATAGGTCATTGGAGCCAGTGACTGAATCCTAATGTCCCTACATAAAGGCCCTACATAGAATATGGTATCTTATTTATATGCAAAATCCCTGATTTGATTAAACCAGACAATTGATTTAATTGTCCTTTTTAGGTTTTAGATAATAATAACACTAGAGTATTCCCCTCCACAAATCTCAGGTATTTGAAAAGGCAATATTGAAAGCTGATTTCAAAGATATTTCCATGTGTACGCAGTCTCAGGTAGTTAAAACACACGATATCAAAAGTAGTACTGCATTTTAGAGGACTATTCAAAATTTTACCAACTACATTTTGCCACAATACTTTTGAATTTAGGAGGAAATTGTTTAAAACTGTCTTGATTACATGTGAATATGCAGACTTTTAATTACAGACTGTATCCATTTCATATTGGACCAACATTGCCTTTTAAATCAATAAAAGATCCAGCTAAGCATTTAACAAAAAGAAAATGCCCAAGGTCATTGACAATAAACAAAACATTACATACAGTAGAACATCTGTTTCTGAACACCTTTTACAAGGTAGATACATCCTCTTTTAATAATCCACTAACCAGTATTATTTCTTCATTAGATATTTTGCCAAGAAAAAGAGCATTTCAGGGTGCCTGGGAAAGTTTGCTAACTTAACCCAAAATATGTTTAAAGCATGTCTTTGTCATTGTAGATAACCTTAATGGACTATATTAAACAGTTTTTTGGGGGGATGAGAATAAAACCTCTCACACAAATCTTACCTAGTCAGGATTTCTTATGGGGAATTCCTTGCCTCTCAAATTATTCACCTTTATTTTTTAGAGCTGAAGTGTGAACAAGGTTAGTAAGTATCCTAATTACATCAGGGTCCCAGTCCCACAATATTTGTGCACTGCAGCCTCTCACTGGCCTGAAAGGGAATTTGGCAAACACAAGGACTACAAAATTTCAGATGAGAAAGCTGAATAAAAATAGCATTTTAAAACCCAAAACATTGTTTCCACAGAGCCCAGCCTAATGAATCATCCTCAGTACACTGAGAGCAGCAAAGAACATGAATCTTGGCACCTATGTTACTGCTTGCTTGGAATAATCTTCTACCAATTTTTGTCCAGTGGGAACAACAGAGAAGATTATAGCAGGCCAGCCATGCATAACCTAGCACATCCTGACTGAAAAACCTTGCAACCAGATAGAGTACAAATAACCCTAAGCATGGTAAGTATGACTCAAAATCTGAATTAAATAAACCCTGGTCAAATCGCATAGATTGTATTCATCCTAACTTGAATTTAAACCTTGCTGAGGTTTACTTATTTCTTTAACGTCTCGAAGAATATATGTAAAAAGTAAAACATTCAAAGCACAAATGATATTCCGAAGAATAAAGATCTCAAAACTGGAGAAGGAATTCAATTCAATTCAAACGGGACATCATGATTGAAGGAATAGCCATGTTTATTAGTACTGGTAACAATAGGCTTACCTGCTCTTTATTCCTTCAAAGCATTACAAAAAAAGACCGTATGTTTCTGAATCAGTTTTGTCTTTAGTTTATCCACCAATGTTGATAAGTAATCTAAGAAATACTTTTTTTGTTTCTGGGGATCATGACCTAATGTCTGTCTCAGAAACAGTATGATCCTGGCCACACTACTTTCTGTGAAATGGGACAGACACCTTCTGTAGCACAAATGCAAGATCCATTTCCTTTCCAATGGCAGCTTATGTGAAACTGAGATTCAGCAACTAAATTAAACAGGTTTTTTTCTGAATTGCCACGTTCAGTGACAATTTCTACCTGCAGCTAACAATTACTTATTTCTCTAGACCAGTTATACAAACTGGACTTTTCACCCATATATTTTTAGGGGAAAGGAGGCATATTTGTATCATATTTAGAATTTACCCTAAGCAGATACCGTGTCTGCAGTTCAATTTTCTAATCCATTTCAATACAGACAGCCTATCAGGATTGTGAAATTAATGCTAAATGTAACTGCAGCCATTACCAAGTAGTTTCCATAAGTGGTTTTATTACTGGTTAGATTTTACAAATTCTGATATTCGAACAGACTTCCACCTTGAAATTCTAAAACAACAAAGCAACCAATGAAGGGCTTAGGACTATTCAAAGTAACAAACTCTTAACATTTTTGCCCTGGTCATAAATATACAGAGAGAAAAAGAGAAAAATGGACATGTAATCCAAAGTGTGTAGATAAAACAGTATATAAGGCACATGGCAGTCTTTGAAATTACAGAAGCTTCAGCCAACTTAAATTAATTGCTGTTTCCCTGGCTCAGTCCACAAAACTGTACAATTACACAAATGTTGTGTTGCAGATAGATCTTCCAAGTTATTCTTTAGTCCATACTCTGTAATACCAGAACAATACATTTCCTTTTGTTTTCAGGAGAAATCCTAATTGTGGTTAGTCAGTTGCTCAAAGCCTCTATTAAAATACACTTGGAATTCAACTAAGAGTAATTTCTTTTTTAAAGAAATTATTGAGAAAGAGTCATCAGAAAAGATTTGTGAGAGTTGTCTGTGAAGGACTTCGAGATTCATGAACCTCAAGACTTCCGGGCACTGACGTCAAGACAGATGTCACAGTAGGCATAGTAGGGTTAGTCAAGTCCGTTAAGGTAGTGGGAGTGCTGGATGGACTCATGGAGGCATTGGATATTTCTGAGGCAGGGCCTGATGGGGTCCCTGCTTGGAGTGTTGAATCTGAAGTCTTATCCACCCCTGTGTTTTCTTGACGTAAGAGGTTCCGTCTGAATTTGGCTCGGGCATTTTGGAACCAAACCTGAAATAATTTAATATAATAGGGTAGCATTTAAAAATCTGCATTGTTGGAAAAAAAAGCAAAAGCAAATTCACAAATTCATCAAAGCCTCAATCGGATGAGATGCTTGTACTGACTCTGTGTGCTGGAAGAGCAGCCATCTTTGCTAGCATAACTCCACAGGCTGTACCCAATTGCAAGAAGGATTCTCTGTCTGGCATGTAAGGCATTTCTTTTTCTTTGTCCCCTGCTTTTCTAAGTAAACAGACTATGCACTGCGACATGAGTGGACTGGGGAAGACGGAGAGGAATCTTCCCCTATTGACCCTCAGGAAAGTCTTAGAAGGTCACTAGCTTCATGTGACTCCTGTACGTGGCTTCCTGCTTTCAGGAAGCATTTGTCAGGATGGGGCACAAACCAACCAGTTGACATGCAAAAGCTCAGATCCACTAGTCCAAGCTGTTTTTCTCACCATGTGCCACAGAGGCCACAGACCCTCTGCATGGTATTTGGCCCTGTCCCTGACAGCTGTGGTCAGGAACCCTCTGGAGCCAAAGAGGTGGTACAATTTTCTTCTCACTAAAAGACTTGTCCTTGTTTCCCCGTAAATTCTTCTTGACTCTCTTCTCTCTAAAATGTCTTAGCTCCCACTCTCTGTCCAATTCTCCCTTTTAAGATGTTCTGTGAAACTTTCTATGAAGTTATAACAGTTATGTAAAATGTGTTCAATATAATTTTAGAATCAACAATATCAATGTGCAACAAGTATAATTATCTGTGTGCAACTAGGTCTCCATCAGTCTGCTGTATTGACTAGGTATGGTCTCTCTAACTAGGACTGACACAAAAGATGAAGACGAAGGAGACAAAAAGATGAAGGGCTGCTTCTTCATGTCCAGCAGTACAACTGGCAAAGCTTAGTTCCCAAGGTAATGGTGACCCTCTCGTGCCTCTAGATTACTTTTCAAATAAAATACACTGCTAGGTTATATCAGATGAAATATCAGTAAAGATATATACAACAAACCCAAAAAGCATGTGTCAAACCAGATGTAGAGGCATGTCTCTACTGTATTTCCAAATGGCATTAAAGATCCTGTGCTCGACCTAGTGTAGATAGATACAGACAAGCTTGTAATGCTAGTTATTCAGACTCCATAGAGACAATTTACCTCCTGGGTCAGAGTTTATCAGCTGAAGCTCCCTGTGCTGATCTATCACAAGGTCTCAAGTTACTGTGCTATATTACCTAAAAATGAATCAGTCCTGCTCCCACTGCACCTCACCCTGACTTACTTCAGTAAGAGCAGGATCAAGCTCTGTCATTCCAAGTGCAATGGACCTTATCATCTTCTCTGCAGGGAAAGAAAATATCCACAAAGCTGTCCTCCTGCAGATTTCTCAGGTGCTGTATGGTGGGAGAGAGGGTGTGTACAGCTAGCTGCCGATCCTGTGGAGGCTGGTGGGCCAGTGGGAAGCCAGAGCCACCCCCAAGGAAGTCATGTTCACCCAACTCTCTGGCAGTATGGCCCCTGCCATGGCTCAGAGGAGCCCTGAGAACACCTCTCCCCACCCCTTTTAAGTGGACTCCCCACCACAGGTAGGAAAGGGACATGGAAATGCAACCTCAAAGGATTTTATCTTTACATCCTCAGCTTCACAGACTCCGCAGGCGATAATGCATGTGCCCCAGCCCCCTTACTCCTCTCCTGGCCTCCTTGCTTTCCATTCAAGATCTCCAGGCCAAACACCCTCTTTTGGGCCTGAAGAGAGGAGGGGATGATGGTGCAAAGGCTGCTCACCCTTCTTTTCTGAAGTAGAGGGGAGATCCGTGTGAAAGACCAGGCAAAGCTGGGACCAGGGAGTAGAGTCAAGGCAAGGCTGTCAGTTTGAACTCAATCTTCATGTGCAATTGCCACTACTGACCACAGGAATTGCATATTTGTGCCATGGATAGTATACTTTGCATACACTGCATGCTTGTTTCAGGAAGTTTACTGTTTGTAAACAGTTAATGTTGCCTTTCCCTTTATTTAAAACAACTGCCATGCGTAGGTTTAATACATTACAAACAAAAATCTTTCCAAAAATGAATATTAGGGAAGTATCTTCATGATGCTTTAAAAATGTCTGATGCATTGTTATTAGGTATTAAGTACCAATGCTGTAATGAACAAAAGTAATTTTGGCTTAAGTTTTCCAGTGCCATATCTGCCCTTTCTGGGCATTGACTGAGCAGTCAGAAACACACGGGCAGAGCTACAGGATTCTGCAAAGTGTTGCATGGGTCTGTCTGCGTGGCTCCATCTGAAGACTGGGAACCACATGTGCAAAGGACAAAAGGGAAGCAGATTAGTCTACTTTGATTATTCAAGCCAGGAGTGTATATAAAAAGCAGCTGGCATCAAGAGTAAAAATTAAGGATTCAATTTGTATTAAATAATACAAGCTATAGCTCTATCAAAACCATGGGATTTTGGTTGTTTGGATTTTTTTTAATATAAGTAACCTGACAGGGTCCCTTTACCAACAGGTAAAAAAAGATCATACAGATAATAATTTATGTAAGTTTTGAAACTCGTCCATTGTAAACAAAGCTGAGTAATTCAGTCATTTTATAATTAAATTAAAACAAAGGAGCCACAAAGTCAGCAGTCCCAATCTATATGCATGTGTCGCCTCCTCACTTCATGGAAAGTGACATTCATGAGTAATATATAACTTCACAGGGAAAAGCCCCATATGCTATCACAACTGCAGCTGCTAAACATGATGCAGTTTCCTGATAAGATACATTTATAAAAACTGCCCAAGACAGAAGAACTCACCCTGTACCTAAAAGTTCAGGCGATCCTTACCCAAAATGGTGCAATAGGCCCCACTATGAGCTCTCTAAATGCCTCTGTATGCATGTTAGTGATTTGGAAAAGAGAGAGGAGGAAAAGCTTCTAAGTTTGTATATGTTCCCCTATATCTTCCATTAAATGATAGGAGTCAAATCCTCTCTTTAGGTACCTGAACAGCTATTCCCCAATACTATCAATTGATTCCATGCAAATATGGGAAGATACAGGACTTAAGTGTGCATCCTCCTCTTAATGAGTCTAACCATTAGCTGCAGGAAACAACCCCAAAACGTACACGTACTGTCCAAAAATAGGAATAATAATACTTACTTTATTCTCTCCCTCACTGCAGTGTTGTCAGGGTTAACTGGTTAATTTATGTAAAGCGCTTTAGAGATGTTCAATGATGAACGAGTGTTAATATTATTACTGAAAAGACTCCAGATATCAACTAAATTCAGAGTCTGAAAAGTCTTTGCCTTATGTAAAAAAAGAACAGGATAAAAGGCCTATCACCACCCTATCGTACATAATATTGTGGTGTATGTGAAACCCTTTCAGCCAACATTTATATTCAAGGGTACTGAATCAAAACCATTGCTTTTCTGAGCAGTAGATAACATAGATCTAATTCTCCACTGCTTTGCAACTAGAATCATCATTTATACCTGTGAAAACAGGGTTTAAATAACTTTTAAGTAAGACTTCTCTACTCATTCATCACAGCTGTGGTGCTCTATGCCCACTTTGGGAACAGGGTACCTTAAAGAAAGGAAAGAGCACCCCGACTGTATTTAACTGTCAGAACTATTCCAGGGGGACTCTGCTCCCATCAGCTAGATAACTCAGAACCTGGTCTTCAGCATTTAAGAATAAACAAAATCAGAGAGGTATGGCATACATTTAATACTGTTCTATTCAACTGCATCATTATGGGGCTAGATTATAGGAAACCAAAAGTGAAGAACGTGAACTATATCCATTACTGAAAAATAGAAGCAGCTACAAGATCAACCCTTGGTTGATCAACCTCTCTAATTAGGGGAGCCGAGTGTCTGTGGCTAGACATCTGAACTAGGCGGGATGGTTCCATGGATAAATTATTAGATTATGACTTGGGAGACCTCAACTCAGGTCTCTGAATTTCCACTTTCCTGGCGGACCCTGGAAACGTGACTCGGCCTTGTTGTGCCAATCTGTAAAAATCTGTTCAAGGGTGACGTTAAGGCAAAGATGCTAAGGCTATAAAGTGCCTGGATGCTATAGTGATAGATGCCAGATAATTACATCAAATAGAGTTACTGTCTGCCTACAACAGCTCCATTATTGTAATAACTGTATGTTAGTAATATGAATGGCTCATTTTAAAATTAATTTCTCAGCACAATCTCACTAGCTCACACTATTACCTGTGACACATTAAGATTTACTGTATATTAATAACTAGTGAGTAAGGGGGCAAACACAATTAAAAATATGAAGGACGCTGCATCACCAAATGAACCTTGTTCACTCATTGCACAAATTCTGTTTTGATTATTTATCTTACACTACCGTACAAAATAGACCACGATATATTTTGAAAACATCACAGAGTCTCAGTAACAGACTGGAGAACAGCATCTTGAAGGGAAATCTTTGCTGAGAACTAAGTTGAGACTATCCAGGTTTGTTTATGAAAACGATTGTGTTAGATTGCTGGAGAGGGAATCAGCAGAGTCAAAATACAGAAAGAATCTTGTCCCACTTTCTTTGAAATATAATCTCGATAGGGTGTTAAAGGGATCCTTCAGCAAAATGTTAAGGGGAAAATTCTGCTCTCTGCCTCTCTGCTTTCTCCCTTTCCATACTAATGCAAAAAGAGGCAAGACCCAGCCCCTAAAAAAAACCTCTTTATGCCATTTATCACTATTTCTTCCCAAGAAGCCCTTTCTTGGGGTTTTATTTGCAGAGTGTGTTACATGCTGGGAGCTGGGTTATTTTTTTGTAGAAGAAACTTAAAGGTAACTTATCAAACTCCAACCAAACAGGTCACAATGAATTGGGCATTTTAATTTCCCCTGGAACTTAAGCTGTTGTACCTGTGCTCGCTAGCCGGAGTGCATCAAATACGTGCATGAATCTGTACTTAAAAAGGTTAAAAATGTGTGTGTGTGCATGTATACATAGAAAGAATGTATTGATTTCCAATCTAGGTACTTATGGGATACAGTCTGTACTTTCCCAAGCCACATCAGGAACAATAACTGAGGAAGCATTATGCCCATGTTTTTCTGCCTTGCTACTGATGGACAAGGGTGCATGATGATTCAGTACCTACAGAGCCAAGCTAAAAGCCAAGTCTTCCCAGTCTGACTAAAGACGATGAAAAATCTGACCGAACGCTCCACTTATCCATCAGCAACCCCCCATCCCCTCACCAAAAATAATGTGTACTACATGAAAGGAATGTCCATATAGGAGGTGGACCACAGCCAATTCCTGTAACACTGGAGACTACACTACAAATGCTTAGGAAGCTCATTGGTTCATTACAAGTGCTGCAAGACTTGGAGACAGCTGCTTCTCTGTTCATCAGCTGCGGGAAGATGTATGCAGACTTTCTATTAGAAATAATATAAAAAGAAAGAAAAACATTGTCTGTGGTCAAACCTAATAAAACCTGTTCTCACAGAAGAAAAGGTAAGTTTGCACACACACCTAGTATAATGTAGGACTTGTTCATAATTTCATTCTACTGGGATGTCCAGGAATCTGGGAATCTATGCATCTTCGATATGGTAGGCAAATAAATTCTAATATTACTTGCCTTAGCTCAGTAGTGCTAGTGAGTGGCTTTGTGTTCAATAACTGGCACACACTGAATATCAAATATTTTTGGTGAAAAGGCATTAATGGCATTAATGAGTGACACTGTCAGCAACCAGCAACATTGAGAGACCTCTCCAGCAAAGAGCCTTGTTGAAACTACTGTCGGTGAACTTTCAAGTCTGAAAATTGCTAGATGTCCAGCTCACATCCTCTCACAAGTCAGGCACAGAGCCAGTTGGGCACAAACTCTAAAACATAATTTTTCATGGCCCAAACTAATTTCCAACAAAGAGAATGGCAGAATGTGGATTAGTGCAATTCCACCACAGAGAGAAGAGCCCATCAGAGTGACTGCACAAGGACAATCCTGCCGTGAAACCTTCTGGGGCACTCCTCTATCACCTCCAGGGATGCTCTTGATCTAGTCCTCTCCCATTTATTGTCTACCTCCTACCAACACTTCAGGCACAGCAGCTCAGAGATGCTGTTGTTGGAGTAAAAGGAGTGGTGTTCCAATACCATTAACACAATCTTGCAGAAGCTGCATGAAACCGCAGGAGGCTGGCCAAAATTAAAAGAGGAGAAAGCACTGAGCACCTAAAAATGTGAGACAGTATATGTTTAAGATGGCGATAGAAAGAGCAAGGGCAGTGAACCAGTGGCTAAGGGGTGGGTAAAGTGGTGCTGGATATAAGATAACAGGTTTGGAAAAGAATGTGGAGAACAGAGTGGAAAAAAGATGGCAGCACAGAACATGAAACGGGAAGCAAAGGAATGGATGAAAGTCCAAACTGATGCAATGGGAAAGAGAAGACAGAACCTAAAGAAGTTAAGGAAGAAGCTACGCATGATGGATGCTAATCATGTCGCTTACCGCGTTCATGAAAGACACTGATGGGTGTATTGTATAGGGCAGATGACAAAAGCGCTTCAAGTGTGGGGGAAAATAACAGGAAGAACAAGGAAAAGGGCGCTGGGAAACAGGAAGGAAACAGAAGGAGAGAAAGTGATGGAAGGCAGATGGAAAAGTGAGTGCAGAAAATCCTTTCTTCCACAAATACCAGCTTTTGTCAGGTACAGATGGGAGGAGTATCTATAAGAGGCCTTGATCCAGGAGTTAGGATGTGTAGTGAATACAAAGTGGGGGATCTGTCCCAGCACCTGAAGTCTGATGATAAAAACAAATGGGATGTCAAATAGGGGAGGCGGCGCTATAGAGGAGGTGTTACGTTATTTTTATCATGACAAGCTTTCTCAGGGAAACTCCGAACTACCTCCAACCCTACCTCTTGCCATTCATCTATCACCATAGGACTTGGTCTCTCTCTGGTGAACTCAGCTTCCCTCTCAGCATTTCCCTTCTACTACCATTCATTTCACTGTGAACTCGCCGATGTCCTAGCATTACTCACAGTTCCCTGCCAGGATTTTTGTCACTAACCCCTCACTGCGGTCTTTTCCTACAAGGTTTCCAACCCCCTTTCCCTCAGAACAGAACCCTGTGGCCAGTGTTTTAGCAGGACGGCTGAGAGCTAACTGGCTCCCAAACTTGCATTGTAAGTAAATATTCTTTTGGATAAAAGCCCATTAAATCTAACTCACTGAAGAACAGAGTAGAGATTTAGATGGAGCTGAAGCATCCAACACCCCTAACTTCTAAGCTTCTACTATGTTCTCTACTTACAAAAAGAATGTAGCAGCTGAAATCATTCACTTCTCCCTAAAATAATAGCTGAGGAAAAATGCATGCTAGGTTTAACTAACTGTTTGAGAAAATAAGCCAGACACCTAACTTACACAACTATCCCCTAAATATTAGAACCCAAGATCTCTAACTCTGGTAGGTCAAAAATAAATGGCTTTATTCATATGCGCTGTTTAAGTTCATAAGCTCTATTTAGTTTAAGCTTCGAAGAAATTACCAACAAATGAGGAAAAAAGTGGGCACAATATCCACAGTGCTTCAGCCAGGGATTCTCAAACCTGGGGCTGAAATTTTATTCAGTGGTAGAGAGAGAAGTCTTTGCCCTTCTTACCTGAAGAACTCTTTTGGTCAGGCCAGTTTTCTGAGCTAGCTGTTTCAAGTCCTTGGCATCAGGGTTATGATTAATAGCAAAGTAAGACTTCATTGTCCGCAACTGGTGGTGTTTGAATGATGTCCTCATGCGCTTTGTTTTTTGATTGCTGGGGTATTGCTGGTCTCTATCCAGGTGGTCACCGTCATTTTCATTGCAACTTAAAGCTAAACGCAACAAGAGGGAAAGGGCGTGTAAATCCATTGCTCAGTGACCAACATTGTTTGCAGTTCATCTGAGTGCAGCAATTAAAATAACACACCATGGCATGTATTGTACTGGTACACGTTCTACTTGCCTTCCTCTCTGTTCCTGCATCCTGCTATTCTTCCTTTACAATAACCAGTCTGCAAGATCCCTCACCTGCCTCTTTACCACTTCTAAAATGTCAGGTCTGCTTCCTTTTTGCTTTTCTCCTTTTCCACACATTGTTCCCCACTTTCTACTTGCAGAACAGTAGCTGTCCTCAACTTTGCAAGTGTTTTAATATACTTTTATCACCATAAATTGCATTGTATGGTACAAAAAGAAGCTGTTACAATAGAGTTCACTTAAATCTCAAATGAAACAGACCAATTCCTCCACCAAACTAAACCCTGTAGACTATAAGACCGGCCATTAAATAAAACACTATTAGAGGAATAATGTTTGTGTGTACCACTGAGAAAATCACAACTATAATTTGACTAGTTAATGACATTAACCTGTTAAAATAATGTTGACCATGTGCCAAGCCAAAATTTACATTTTTTCTCCATTATTTATATCTCAGTAAAGACAACACTTCTTTTAAAAATAGTTTAAAAGATCAATTGTCATCATATCCCTTTCAGATAATTTAACAAGGCATTTTTGCAAAAATCAGTGACAAATATGACATATGATATCTCAGAGCAAAAGAACATAGCAAGTATTATCAAATAGCCAAGCAAAATATTCTTATAAACCACAGGTATTTTTTTATTTTATATATGCATACAGTAAACCACAAAAGATCCTCTTAATATAATATTAAGGATCAAGCTTAAACCCGCAAGAAAATTCAGTGATATGTCGGGAAATCAGCTCTGACATTTTGTCATTAATTTATCCTACTGTGTTCAGGTATCTATAATCTCCTTCTATAATTAAAAAAGTTTTATGTTAAAAATGGGGAATAGCCCCATAATCTTCATTTTATTCTCTCCCTTGATAATTATTTATTCATTCCACTAAAATGGCTAAAAAACCTGGAACAAACACCTATCTTGGGAGCTTTAAATTGTGAATTATTGATCCAGCTGTCCAAACATACACACATAGATTCTTTAAATTGTCCATCACCACTGACTCAATACAATGCAATGCATCTGGAAGGTACATACATGTTTACGGTGTTATTTCAAATGCACATTATTTATCCAATTGAAGTTGTCAGCTCTATGGAATAAATATGAATTTTAAAAGTCAGGTGTTGAAACCAATTTTACAAAGTCTTCATAATATGAATGTGTGTGTCTTTTGTGCCCATGATAATAAATGCATGCAGACCTGATAGAAAACAGTTACTCAGCATGTACAGTGGTTGCACTGCAAACTTCAGCATTTCAGAGACTTTTTGAAAGCCACAGCGCATTATGGAATATGGCCTGCAAAATTTCAGTTTGGAAAAGAAAGGCAAGTTTGTCTCATAGACATATAAAAATATCTGAAACCTCAAAACTTCTCTCTGTTTTTGCACTCCTGTAATTTAAAAAAAGAAATAGTCAAAAAAGTTAAAGCAACTGTGGTTAAATATACACATACACACACACACATATATATTTAAAAATTCTTCCCAGGCTAATCTTGTGCCAAGTTTTAGCAATGAGGGGCTTTTTTTCCTGCTCGGTTATAAACTTGGTTTTCTCATGGAAATACTGACAGCACCTGAATCTGAGGGGGGAGAACACAAAAGGGGGCAGCAGAATGCTGCATTTATTGAGCTGAATGGAATGAGCTGGAATCTTTCTCTGGCTTAGAAATCCACGTCTGGTTGCCAAACGTGGAGCCACCCCATGTGCTTCAGTCTCCCTCATAGTTGCATTCCTTCCTCAGATAACTGGGAAGAAGATTAACTAAAACTATATTGCTCAGGGCAAATGGGGCTATGGAAATGTAAGATAATACATTATTTATTATAATTGTTGTTTAAAGAAATTCGCTCACAGAATTGTAGAAATTAGGGATGGGCAAGACCTGTGAGCTTCATACTGAATCCTTCCTAACCCTCCCAGGGGCGATGTGTCAATTATTTATGAGGAAACACATAAATTCTTCCTCTGAAGAATGGAAACCTATTTTCTTGATATGGGCGTTGTGCCCTGCAACACAGCAAGCCCCAGGACTGCAGACAACAGGGAGACTGAGGACCCTGGTTCTGAATACATTCTGTAAAGAGCTATCTATGTATGTTTGTAGTTCAATAAAGTAACAGTGACTCTAAACCCTCCCAAAATGAAATCCCAGCTTGCCGTCAAGCCCTGATCACACATTGAATCGCTTGTTCTTTGAAAATATCCCATCTAGGACTTATTTCTTGTCATTTTATTACCCCATCTGCCAAAAAAAATGAAAATCAGCGCTATCCCATTTGGGACTTGTAGAACTACTGTCCTTTTTTGACAAAATAGAATTGGAAAGTCTGTTGGGGTCTGTTGCTTCCTCATGTTGTGCTAGCTGGCTGGATAACCCCAGGCAATGCCTAGCCTGACACACATAGTCCTATTTAGTGCCAACAGCCATTCAAGCATGGTTATGGTAAGTAGCATCCCATCTTTAAAAAAGTCTGTTGGATTAGACCAAAGACTACCCTTATGAGAATCTGGAATCCCTCCAAGGGCTGCAGGCACATGTATAGGCAATTTTTTTATGGGGACGGGGAAAGCAGGGTGAGGGTCTCCTGCAATCAGTTCAAAGAGATAATCCCACCGACACTGCCCGTATAGCCCTCTGCTTGGCAAGCACTTCCCCTCCTCTTCCTTGTGTGCTATTGCTGTCTATCTCATGAAGGATCTGCTGGACTATCTGGATTCCAGGTTCCTGCTCAGCTGCAGGCTGTAGGATTCCTGCTGTGAGACTGGTTCAAAAACAGCATTCAGTAAAATGCCAATCAAACGGGGAAGACTTATATGAGCAAGACTAATGCTTGGTTCCCACTTTGGGTGCTGGACCCTGAAATTCCTTTTGCAACTCCCAGCATGTCCACTGAACACAGACTTCCACTCTGCTCTCCCCCAGCAAGAGCGACCACCAGCCACCGAACCACACTTCTGCTGGCCACCAAACCCCCTCTCCACGAGTGTCTGGCTGGCCACACTGAGCGCTGGCTCACCCCTTACACTCTCCCCGTGAACAACACTGTGCAAACACCAATTTGCCCATAAAATGTTGTAAGCGTTACCATGTATTTGGGCCTGGCATTTGAAAGCGAAAACATTGGGATTTGCTGC